GCAAGAGGTAGGCTGGGGATTCAGGGAGTGTGTCACTGCCACCCACCTTCTTAAATGATGCCCAAGGCTCCTGGAGGAGTGTGGGTGTGAGGAACAAGCAGTCCCGGGATAGGAGATAGGCAACTTTGAGCAAGTTTTTTTGTGTGTTTTTGTTTTTTTTTTTTACCTCTCTTTACCTCATTTGTAAAATTAAGGATAATTTTGAGGACATAAACAAGCATATATGAGCACTTAGCACAGCTTACTGTACCTTAATTATGGCTCCATAAATGTTAGCCTCTTGTTATTCAATCAAGTTAAATGCTTACTATTGCTTAAAAAGTCTTGTTTATATCAGGGTGTCAAATTCAATCATCTATAAATGTAGGACCTTGAGGAAAGTTGGCTCACTCCATGTAAAAACTGAGGAGGAGAGGGTCCTACAGCAAAGTAGAAGCCTGGCCCTTCTCTGGAAATACATGGGCTCTCAGTACCAGTTGGAGCTCAGCATGGAGCATGGTCTGGCAAAGTTGGCAGACTTTGTGATTTGCCAAGAATAACCCCAAATCTGGATTTTTATGTGAAATTTCCTGATTTTTAAATGTTGGAAACTGCCTCCAAGATTTTTTACATACCAGACAGGCCAAACGAACCATACCTGTGGCTGGACCAGGCTCATGGATTGTATGTCTGAGGACCTCTCCTTGTCCAGAATAACCCACAGGACCTCTCTGGGAAAAATCCACCAAGAGTCTCTACTTATTTCCCAAACAGGTAAAGGCTTACCATACACCAAATCACAAAGGGGCCCAGAGAGAGCCTGGAGTGTTCTCTAAATCACAGGAAGATGTGGCTGGGCCAACAGCAGGTGCTTCCTTGCGGACTTACGGCTTGCTCACTGGGAAGGGAAGTGGATGATTTATGAGCTGCAAAGGTGATGCAAAATGCTAATCAGCTTTAAGCTGACACTGGATAACACAAGCAAATTTACATCTTCTCTAAAATAATTCAAATGCTTCTCATGCATAATAGCAGGCAAGGATAAAGATGAAGTGATAACACTTCAGAGGCTTCACAAAATATCCCAATTAATCTAGGCCATAAACCTACAACAAATTCTCATTTCTCTCTGAGAACAGGAACATACCACAACTGAAAAATCACAGGAAATACCCAAGTCAAATCATCAGCCAGCAGGTTCCCCGACTGGTGTGCCTAGAGAATTTCACCTATTTCTGACATGGCTCGTCCATGCTGAGATCTAAGACTTAATCTTCGAAGCAGATATCACAGACTTTCTGAGTCAGAAAGGACCTTAGAAATCTTCTCAATCAGCACTGAATGTGAGATACAAACTTCCTCCTGATTCCTCATTCGACCACCCTCTTTCAGTTAGCCCTGCCCTGGGAGCCAGACCCCTAGGCTGGCAGTCTACAGCAGTAAACTTCCTCAGGTCCAGCCCTTTTGGAACGCACACACTCAATGTGAGGGGCTGCACGGCCACCTCCACCTTCACTCACCACAATGCAGCCACTTCTGAGGAGTACCAGGCTTCTACTGAAGGGTCCTACAAGTTTTGGGGAAGAGACAGGGCCCCTCGGTCAACTTCTATCCATTCTTCTCTTATTAACTGGTAGTCTAAACCCGATTTCCTTGAGGGAAAACAATATGCAGTACCTCATGAAGGCTGCCAATCCCCTGGTCTCCTCCACTGCACCTATTTCTTTGTGTTCAGCCCCCACGACATCCACTTACTAGTCCCAGGTCTGCTCTGTGGGACCACCAGAGGCATGACCCCCTCCTCCACAGTATAACTCTGCAAGCCTTTGAGGACAGCACATGGTTCACCTACTTCCCCCTTCAGGCTCAGGTCTGACACCCAAGTTCCATTCTTCACAATGACAGATTTGGGGCACCTGCCCATCCAGCTGCCTCTTCATTCATTTGCCATTATGAATCCAAAAACTATGTACTGAAGTGTCTGTTTTGGCAGTGGTGTCCTCCATAAAGTTTTTGCAAAAGGGTCTATTGGAAGACATGCCCTCACAAAATCCTACTGTGTCAAAGACTTGACAAAGGAGGAAAAAGTACATCCTACAAATTGTCCATGGAAAACTGGAGCTTCTAGAGGACAAAATGGGATTTTTCTGAATATCAAATGTGCCTGATCATTAGAATCAGATTTCTGGGATCTACATCCCAGACCTGCCAAATCGGAATTTCCAAGGGGAGATGCCTAGAAATCTGCATTGTAAAAAATGCCATGTGTTCTTATCAATTACATATTTTATCAGAAACGTCTATAAAATCAATAGACTGAAATACAAGAAAATGAGACTTTTAATACCTGTAGCTTTAAAAAAACAAGAAGATTTTTATGACTTGTTCCCTCTCCTGTGATTATACTGGTTTCCTCTTCTCCTCAAACTGTCCCAAATTCCCTGTGCCCCAAACCCCACTGATAATCAAAGTAGAATCTGGTTAATATAGCACACTGGATACTCCTGCACTGAAACCAGGGAAGAGAAATTAGTGTGACAGAGACTTTCAACTAAGAAGACCTCAGTTTATATAAAAATCTTTTCAGAGCCCTTATAATCTCATTGACCATCTGCAGCACAGAAATGAATCCTGGAATTAGTGGTGCTAAGTGGTTAGACACTCTGGAGACCAAAAAAAAAAAGTAAAAGTAAAAGAAGTTTCTATCTTGTACTTGAAGAAGAACCTACCACTACGGGGAAACTCCCCAATAAGTAAGTACTTAGACATTACGGGGTAAAAAAATGTTAAAATAACTAACTTGGTAGCAGTGATATGTATAAAATTCAAATTTCTCCAGCAATGGCTTATCATAGGATTCCCATTATCTAGTTCTGCATCATGCCCCTCTCCCCAGTGATTCAAACTCCACTGACAAAACAGAATTTCATCTATTTACTTTGAAGCAAATTAAAAAAAAAAATACAAGTGCCCAAAGCACAAGACTTTTTTTCTTTACCTATTTAAAAAAGGGAAAAAAAAGAAAAAACTAAAGAGGAACAGAGTTAATACTGGCACCTGAATCTACAACATCAGAAAAAAATGGCAACCCTTCAAACTCCACACATGCAAGAGCTCTTCATCTTAAGCTGAAAATGGGAAATTAATTTTCAAGTCTTTCGTCTAAGAGACAGCTTTTAAAAAGGTATTAACCTACATTTGGAGATTAATGCAAACAGCCATCTTGTTTTAGTGGGTACAATCCAACTTTTATTAAGACAAAGACGGATTCTGAGTAATTAAGAGCTTGTCCAATATCCAGAATTTTATGACTCTAAATATTAGCGAAGCTGGCATTCTTACCAGCTCTGCCTCAGAGCTATTGCATTATAAATCCTTGGTGGTAATGAAACACCAGCTAAAAAGAGGCTGAATAAGTCTCATTTTTAAAAACCAGCCTTCCCGTGAAGAACTACCTGACTTTAATGTATAGCTCCTCTTAGAACATTAATACTACTGGAAAAGGTGAGTGGCTTGGGATTTGATACTAAAGAACCCGAAAGAAGATAAACAAATGGCAGAAAGTATGTTTTAACAACACTGGATGTTGAGAGACTCCCTGTTGCCCAAGTCTAGGAACACCTTGCTGATCTGGACAAGAAAAGGACAACACACCCACACTGGGGATGCTACCAGTTTTATCTGTGAGGCACATTCTTTACAGGGTACTATTTACACAATGTAGCAGAGTCATGGACAGTGTAAACAAAACAGAAACAAAAAAAATTAATAAAATAAGTTAATATCTCATTGTTTAAGAAATACCCCCAGTGGGGTGCTCTCTTTTGCTACCAAATGCTTTTTTAAATGGGGTGGAGGTTACTACCTCCTCAGAGGAAGGTTTCTTCACGGTCACGTTCAAACTGTCTCTGCCAAGAGGACTGAGGGGACACTCATGGAATATGACCAAAATACAACTGGTCATCATGTTTCCAGACTTCATAAAATCCAAGACTCCTGGATACCAGGTTCCTAATCCAAGTTTCTTCCATATTCAAAAGGCCACCAAAGGCTTAATCACATAGGGACTATAACATAGCTTTAAAAAACTAGTTCCCTCTCTGGTTTTTCATCAAATTTGCCACCCACCAACTAAACTGAGGGAAACGCCAAAGGTTCCCGTGCCCCAGTCCCCAACAGTGATTATCTGAAAGGAGCCTGTGTACCTCACCTAAGCCAAAGCCAATGCCCCATATCCCAAAGGAATACATAGGACTTGACAGAATGGACCAGACAAAAACACATCATGCACTCCATTTAGCAAACCCAAGCTGCTAAACTGGCTGAAAGGCGCCTGTCATCTCTACCCTCTTAGGAGAGAAATGACACATGTCACTTGTGTACACCAGCCTTATCTACTAAAACTGACCACAGCCAACATTTTAGCATTGTCATATCTGAAAATCAAATTGGAAAGAAAAAAAAAATGTAAACCAAGGACACACAGAAGTACACATGTGATCTACCAGAAAAAAAGAACTGCAGGGGAACAAAGTTGATTCTGCTAGCCAGTACTGCAGTGTTCACTGACTGCCAGGCCTTTTGTGCAGCCCTCCAGAGTGACCACAGAGACCACACACCCAAAATCCTATGTAATTATTAGAGATTAAGCTTACTCCCTCAAGGTAAGATTAAAGCACTGAACCTGCTTGGAGCACCTATGTGTAACTATGCCCCACCCTTTTGATTCCAAGAAGCAAACATTTCAAAGGCAAGGTCCCACAGTATTAATTAGCCTGCCATAGCACCCTGCATGACAACTAACCCCCAAAGAACCATCTTCACTTTTTAAATCAAGGTATCTTGATACTAAAGTTAAGACCTGGGTACACAAAAGCCTTCCCATCAGCCTCCAAGTCCAGCTAACATACACCTTCTAAGCACCAACTATCGTGCTAAGCACAGTGAAGTGTAGAAAAAATTTGTAATATGCTGTACAGAGTACTTTCCAGTGGACTGATTAAAATAATCCTCACAAGAAATTTAAATTTTTAAATTTAAAAAACCATTCTGTACAAAGCACTCAGATTCACAGATGAGAAACAGCATGTTAAAGCACTCTATAGGTCATCAATATTATACAAATGTTAACTGTCAATACAGGTAGTAATACCAACTATAATTTCCTTGGCATTTGCTTGGCATGGGTCAGGTACCATGTTGAGCTTTTCACATGCCTTTTCTTGTTTAATTAAACAATTCCTCGATATTATCCCCATCTTGTAACTGAGGAAACGGAGTTTGCAGAGGTTGAATGACTTACCCAAGGTCACATAAGTAAGTGGCAAAATTGGGTTAAACAAGTCTTTCTGTCAAAACTCATGTTTTTTATCCATTATCTATACTGCCTCCAGGACTTCTATTTCCTGAAGTCATTTTTCTTACCTAGTCCCCAAAATCCTCACCAAGTACTCAGACCTGATTCACATACTGCCTATTTCTTTTTTTTTTAAGATATTTTTATTTATTTATTTTAAGATTTTATTTATTTATTTAACTGAGAGAGACAGCGAGAGAGGGAACACAAGCAGGGGGAGTGGGAGAGGAAGAAGCAGGCTTCCCGCGGAGCAGGGAGCCCGATGCGGGACTCGACCCCAGGACCCTGGGATCATGACCTGAGCCGAAGGCAGTCGCCCCACCAACTGAGCCACCCAGGCACCCCACATACTGCCTATTTCTGATGGTCATCCTCCGTTTATAGTTTTTCTATACCCACATCCCCAAGTCCACAGGTCACAGGGTCGTGGTTAGCTTCAGAAAACAGCAAAGATCCCATGTGGTCTCTAACTACTGAGAAAAATCCAAGAAATAATGATGCACATATTAATCAAAGGTTACAGCTACTTGGTATTTGAAACACTTCTAACTGAGGTTCTTAACAGTGCTTAAGAGAAGGCTTAAGTGCATTAAAAAAAATTCTCTGTGCATTTGTTATTCTCATCCCAGCTTTAAAGATGAGTAAACACAGACTTGTAGACATTACAGGAAGATAAGATAGGAATTCTGGCTGTTTCTATTTCTCTCCTAAGACCTGTGAATAACACAAGCTCCTGACTTAACCCACCTCTCCTTGTAGCACTGCAGGTTAAGAGAGGACACATGAATCAACAGAAACTAAGATCGATCCAAGAAAGGTCTTTTAATTAAACCATAGGAAATAATGGGAGATAAAAAGCAGAACTGGTGTTGTACCTCTCAAAGGATGACAAGTTTGTTCATTTTAAAGCAGCAGAAGTCAAAAAAGAAAATTTTAAAAATTTAACCTCATAAACTCCTTTATAATAAAAAACTAAATAAAAAGGAATTTGGAAAAAGTATTCATGACAAATATTGCCAAGGGTTACTCTATGTGTAACATAAAAACTTCCCAGTGGTGGCTCAGATGTAGTTAAGCACCTGCCTTCCGCTCAGGTCATGATCCCAGAGTCCTGGAATCGAGCCCCACATGGGGCTCCCTACTTGGCGGGGAGCCTGCTTCTCCCTCTCCTTCTACTACTCCCCCTGCTTGTGCTCTCTCACTCTGTCAAATAAATAAATAAAATCTTAAAAAAAAAACCTTCCCGTCAGTTGGGGGGGGGGAATTCCAATCCATAAACCAGTAAAATGCAAACATAAATGAGGTTCAAGTTCAAACTAGTGCGCAATAAAGGGAAGGTACAGCCTTTTTAGAGCTACAGTTATGAAAGATATCCTGTAACTTTTATCCCTAAAAATGTAAATAATGATAATTTTCAAGACAAGTACACCTATATCACTGATGATAGTAGTGTGAACTGTACACTGATAAAAACCTTAAAACAAAAAGGCACCCTGTTATTATTCTACAACAGAAAAATCTATCAAAGAAATTAAGGGGGCAGAGGGAATCCTACCTACAAATAATTTCTTTGTGGTATAACAGCACAAAATGGAAAACTTCCAACATTAGAAGAATGTAAATCATGGCACAATTTGATGTACTATTATGCAGTCATTAAATTACTAATTATGAAGATACTAAGGCAACATAAAAATGGCTTTTTTAATGTTAAGCAAAATATAAAATTGTTATGATTACACCGCCATAAAAGTGATGTGTGCATTACTGATAAAAATGAGGGGGGGGGGAAGAATGGGGGAATTTCTTAAAAAGGAATCTGTGAATGTTCTTCTCTCTTTACAAAAACGTTATTAAAAGAAAGCTGTGTGTGTGTGTTAATACAATGGCAAGAGAGAAAGAAAAGCGATTCCCCTCTCACCCTCTACCCACCTGCCTCCCTGCCTTACAGAGAATACATATATTTACAAAAGAGTTAAAAGTTGCTGATATCAAGGCTCTTTCCTGGCTAAAATGTCTCACCCCTTACTGAAAAATGTGAGGTGTGAATGTGGACATGGTATTTTTGAATTCTATTAGGGATAAGAAAATAGTACAACCAACACGTCACACACACAAATATATTTATCATTGATACTTGCTTTCTGTGTGCATTGTAAAATCTAGCTCACTAAAGGATTTTCCATGCTGTTTCTACTAGGAAAACACTCAAAAATCCAATGTTCATCTGAATTTTGTAACATCCCATAGCAGGTAGATACCAGCTATTTTCCAGAGAGGATTTTCCATAACACTGAGCAGAAAGTTGAGATCAAAGCTCTGCTAGCTCTGACTGAAATTAATTCTCTACAGCTGTTTAGGGAACTTGTATCTCAGAAAGAGGGACTCAGCTGACTAGTTCAACCTCCCTCTTCAAGAAGGAAAATGTGTTTAACAACAACAACAAAAAAAGCCACAAGCAAGCACCCATCAGCCCACAGAGCTTGTATGTTCCCAAAGAGCAACATTATTTGATTGCAACTTTTTGTCCCTTTTTTGTTTAAAGCCTTTCAGGGAGGCAGCTCTTCTGAAGAACTACCAACCCATGGGAAGAATGGATGAATCAATGTTTGCCTAAAGACATTAAAATTTAAAAAGACAGAGAACCTTCAAAAAAGCAAAAACCCACATAATCATTTCAGAATGTGCCTACCCAGTTCATTATTATGCAGATTTCACAAAACACTTCCCTAATCCAGGGGAGAGCTATTCTCTAATATAATGCATTTATATGCTTTATCAACCAAGAGCATTCCTTTACTTCCAAGTTACTAGTTTTTAGGCTATATTTGTGGCAGGCTTAGGGTGAGAATATCTTTCCAAATAATCAGGAATGGTAGCCGCTTGGGCCATGGGAGTCCACGGGGGGGGGGGGGGGGCTTTCCTAGACCCAACAGCTTCTCAATCCCTCTCCACAGTCCTCGGAGAATTCTGGGGAGGATTCACTGACCATCTCATCCATCTGGGGGCCCACTTCAACTTTCACACACACATTCCACCAGGGTGAGTTCCACCCCAATAATCCATTACTGAATTTCTTTTCTGACCTACCACACACTAAAACCCCCATTAGCTCCTCAGTTCTCAACCTTTGCAGCACCTGGAATAACCTAGGAATTTTAACAGATAACCACCTGGATTCCAGCCCCAGAAGATTCTGATTTAACTGGCATGGAGTATGGTATGCGTCTATCACAGGATTTTGTAAAGCATTCCAGGTGTTTGTTTTTAAGAATTTGACAGTTTGATTCTAAAATTTTATATGGAAAAGCAAAGGACCTAGAATAGTCAAAACAATCTTTGGGGGTAAAAAAAAAAAAAAAGAACAAAGAGGGAGGATTCACACGACTGCAGTTCAACACTTACTATAAAGCTGGAGTCACGAAGGCAGTGTGGTCCTGGGGGGACAGATGTATCAATGGAGCAGAACTGAGTCCACAAATAGATGCAAGCAGAAACAGACTTAAACAGGCAACTGATTTTCAACAAATGCACGAAATAGTATATTCAACGAGTAAAGGAAAGTCTTTCCAATAATGCTAGAACAGGATAAACGTAAGGGGGGAAAGTGAACCTTCACTCTTACCTCACACCACACACAAAAATGTGAGATGAATCATGAACCAAAATGTAGATAAAGTTTCTAGAAGAAAACAAGGGACAATATTTCTATAATATTAGGTAAGCAAAGATTTCTTGGATAGGACACAAAAGACATGAAACACATAAGGGAAAAATAAGACAAACAAGACTTCATCAAAATTAAAAATTTCTGCTCATCCAAAAACATCATTAGGAAATTTGTAAAGGCCAACCACAGACTGGGAGAAACATTCTTATTACATATATCTGACAAGCAACTTGAATCAGAATATTTAAGAACCCCTATAATCAGTAGCAAACATATAACCCAATTTTAAAATGGTCAAAAGACCTGAACACCATACCAAAGAAGATAATGCCAACACTGTTAGTCATCAGGAAAATGCAAACTAAAACCATAATAAGAGTTTTTCCCCACTAGAATAGCTAAAATTAAAAAGACTAACACCACCAAATATTTTTGAGACTATGGAGCAACCAGAACTCTAATGCAATTGCTGGCGGGAATGTAAATTGGGACAACCATTTTGGAAAAACATTTGGCAGTTTCTTATAAAGTTAAACATATACTCACTTACCTTATGATCCCACAGTTCCACTCCTAGACATCTAACACAATAGAAATGAAGACCTATGTCCATTAAAAAACCTTGTACAATATTGATCATTACAGCTTTATTTTTAATAGCCAAAGTTCTAAACAATTCAAATAGCACTCAATAGGGAAATAAATGGTTAAACAAAGTGCGTTGTATTTACACAATATTACTCATCAATTAAAAAAGAAGAACTGGTATGTGCAACAATGTCGAACAATCTCAAAAGGATTATGTTTGACAAAAGAAGCCAGACACAGTAAAGTGCATACTGTATGATTCCAGTTTCATGGGACTTCAAAACAGGGAGAAACTAAGGTATGCTGACAGGAATCAGAAGGGTGGATGCCTCCAGGAGGCTGGGATGGAACTGATTAGAAAGGAGGGCTAAACAACTTTCTCAGGTGATGATTATGTTCTCTAACTTGATGGGTTATGTGGGTTACCTGTGTTTGTTAGTCAAAATTCACTGATTTGTGCACAAGATCTATGCATTTTACCATGTGTAAATTGTACCTAAAATTTTTTTCAGCCGGGTGATTTCAATCTGTAGCTAAGCTGAGAACCACTGTTTTGTGGATATTACAATGGCTAACCTAACATCTCCCTACACCTTCCTCATTTGGCCTCTCCATCGGTAAGCATCACAATGATTTCTTGTGCAAACGAAGACTGTAATTGTGCATATTCAATATTTTCACATAACACCCTATATACTGCACCTTGCTGCCCAAATTCTGCATGTACTTTAACTGGATATTGATGAACTGATCTGATCCTGGTATTTCCACATCACAGTGTACATCTATTTCAAGAGACACTGGGAGACATCTGGGAGAGCTAGCAACTATTCCCAGCACACAACTTCCCAAGTACATCTCTCCCTCAAGTCTGAGCAGACCAGCCTTCAAAGAGCCTACACTCTCCCATTTTCCACTGCCCCTTTGAGACAAACCCAGCCCTCTGGCAACACTGCACTTACGTTCAGGAACCCAAAAGGAGTCAAGTATCTCCAATTTCCTCATGCCAGTCTCTCTTCCCAGAATGTCAACCCTACCTGTTTACAGGGCATACACTTTCCTGTCCTCTGAAACATCTTCATCATGTCACCTCCTTCAGAAAGGTTTCTCTGATCTCTCTCCAAGCTGCATTTGTTCCCTCTCCCCTGCTCCCAAAGTACGTAATGATTATCTCTAGCACTTGTCACCATGTGGTAGGCAGTCTGCTGGAAACAGCAGAGGCCTATCACACTCTTACAAACATGTGTTGCATGATAACGTTTACTTTTCGAAATTTTGTGCCCCCCCCCGCGGGGGGGGAGAGGGA